AATGTGTACGTAGCTGTAGCGGATCTAAGTGACAATTATTTCGTATTTCACTGACAACTTCGCTTGACACTCCAGTGGATATATCCGGCCGTTCATGATATGATGCATGTCTCATATGTACGCGACTTGTTATATTGATTCGAACGATAAGTTGCCCTTTACATTCATATCGCTTGATTCGTTTCCGATTTGTATCTTTGAAATCGTCAAGGATATTTGATTGACTACAGTTATAGTAAACAGTAGCGATATTCCTTGGGTCACGCACGGAATTGCTTGTCTTCCACTTGCTGAATAAATTTTAATCAATAAGTTATTCTTAAAACTTACATTAAAATAATGTAGTATATCTTACTTCCATTTGTATCCGTCGCCTTCTGCAACCTCATCTCGAATTCTCTCAGCAATCTGAGAAACAGAGTTCCCTCCTTCCTCATTGTCAAATATAACGTCTAAGTCGAATTCAAACAAATTATTTCCCGACACTAATTCGCTAATTAGTTGAGACAGTTCATCAATATGGACTTTCTCCTTGTTTTCAACGTTGTCAGTTTGGATGTCAATAGCTAACGATGTATCAGTCTGAATATCTATATTCCGATGAACCGTCTTCTAATTGATTTAGAGAATTTTTATAAATAACGTGTCTTTTTTTTCTTTTATCCAGACACTGAACACACGTTTTGGATAGGGTCTCATTGAATTTTTTAAAATTGCTTTCTGGCAGAGTCTTTTTACAATTAGTACAGCGCGGCATGTTTGAATAATGCGAAAAATTTAGGCAGACTTCTCAATTTATTTCTTTTCAAATTACACAATATTATGCTGGGCGAACAAAACGACGTTGAGCAATTTTATTTGTTTTCTAATTTGTTACGTTTTGTTTGGTAAAAAAGGTGATAGCCAAGTGCGAGAATAGAATCTTAGTTCGGAGAGTTCATAATGATGTTTCTAACAGCTTTATGAGCATTACAAATTGGAGATTTTATTATAGTATAAAAAAATAAAAATGTAAAAATTTATTTGTAAAAGGAAAATACGGAATGAGAGATGAATAAAGTCGCAAAAAATAAATACAATACTACTATTGTTTCCTCACAACTTTATTCTTATTCTTGTCAGAAACTGTCATTTTATTATATAATTTTACCAATTAGGTAAAAAAGAGAAGGATGCGTTATGACTGTATATGTTAGAAGATTCGAATAAACATTTAAGTTTCAGTAATACGTGTACATACAATGATAAATCAGATATGGTGAAGATCGTCTGTGTTGTTATGCTGACATATCGGGTCAGTTGTTATCGCCCTAATTTATTACTTTTTACGGAAATTTTATCAAAATCAATGATCAACCAATCACATTTCGATCCATGCGGACAAAATGGGGAGGTCGCTGTGTGAGTTCACATCATTATTGGCAGTGTCCCTGGCTATGTTATTACTCCTGGTAGGCCCCATGTATATAATGTTAACATCAGCACTATCATTGCTATCAATGCCCCCAGCACAACTGTCAATGCAACAACTGTCAATGCAACAACTGTCAATGCAACAACTGTCAATTGTGATGACGCAAGCCTATACGATGACGTATTTCTTCCTAAATTTCTGTGAAACCATTCGTGCCACCAGAGATCGGCGGCGGAAATGTAACAGTAGTACTAACAGCAGCATGTAGTACTAGCAGCGGAATGTAGTACTAACAGCGGTCGCACTAGCAGCGCATTAACAGCACATTAACAGCGCAATAGCAGCAGAATGTAATAGTCAAAGAAAGAATAGTGATAGACGTAGAAAATAATTAGAGATTAGCAATTAGTAATCCGATGCTAAAAATAGATTAACTAGTCCGCTCGAAAGATATAAAAGCAGCGTAGGATAGACTTAGCATCGGTGTGTTCATCAGTGTTCAATCCAAGTGTTCGCAAGATAGTTCTTATCGAAGACGTTCGATACCCCTCTATTATATTTTATTTTTGTTAATAAACGAATATCCATTTATTCTGAAACGATAATTCTTTTCCTAGAATTTTCCGTTATATCCGTAAAGCATAAATCCGTATAACGGCAAGATCGGTTGGCAATTACCTCTGCCAAAAAATGATGATAGTTTAGATTTCAGTTTTAGTGGCTTAAAAAGCGAAATTAGTCGATAATACTTGTCTCGCAATCGATCAAGTGGCATTAAGATAATTAATTATTATTTCGCAGCGCGCATTATATTCTTATTAAGACCCCAACCTACAGACTACCGAATTAATCCACCGGTAGAGAGTAGTTTTGTTCTCGAGAGTAGTTAATTATCTAGGATTAGTGTGTGCAATCCGTATAAGAATACGTCGGCACCGAAAAGCCTAACCTAAAGGTTTGTTAAGGTTTGGCTATCGCTGAGGTGAGCCACACTCCTACGACGGCGCAGCTAGATCCCAAACCGAGACAGTAGTTACTCGCTCTCCCGTGACTGTTGCCTCGACACAATGCAACAACCATCAATGCAACCATCAATGCCCCTGGCAGCACAACCACAACACCTGTCAAATACTTGACTTTTATTAGAAAGCTGCCCAGCACAACTGTCAATGCCCCTAGTGCAACTGTTATCACCCCTGGCACAATCAACAATTGCAGAATCACCAATAGAAATTGGGAGCCAGGGGAGTCAGTATTGAACAAATTTTACTTTTATTCATTCTTGTTGACAAGAACATTGGGACAAATTGTGGCAGTACAGGAGGCCTGGTTTTGAACAACAAACATTCAACTGGTCTCTGGCACATTGAATATGCTATTGATCATAAAATAAATAAAAAAATTACAAATCTTCACAATACTCAATTCAGTGTGCAAGAAAGGCAAATGATCAGTTTAACTTTGGCCCTATTCATTTCATGTTCCCAATTTTTTGTTCCCACTTCCATTTTTAGGCAGGAACAGAAAATGAAATGAATATGACAATTTCCCCTTATTTTGTTCCTGTAACTAAATTCGTATATGATTTGCAACTGATTACCAATCACAATTTTTAGCCTAAATTCCGAGGAGCGAAAAAAAAACTTTCTAATAACTTTATTATGTCTGTGAAAAACGAGTCTCTGCTGCTACTTCAACAAGCACTATTACTTGCAGATTCTTCTAGCAACAGTGAAGACTTTTCTGATAGTACAAGTTCTGAATCAAGTAATGATGAACTGACTCTCCTACAGCTGGCTCAATGCAGTTTGCAACTTCCGCAAGCCTTACATTATTATCAGCCGAAATCGCAACATTGGTTTGAAAATATATTACCACAATATGATGATAACCGATTTCGACAAGTTTTACGTATGTCCCGTAACACATTTGACAGTCTTGTTAACGAGATATGTGGTCATGAGGTGTTTCAGCAACGAAATATCAAACATCAAAAACCAATTGGCTTACAACTGGCTGTGACGCTAAAGAGGCTGGGATCTAACACCAACATACGTGATATTGCTTCCATGTTTGGAATTGCTGATGGAACAGTAATGAAGTATCAAGAACGCGTGATCACTGCTTTGAAATCATTGAAGGGTAAGTATGTTGTGTGGCCGAGAGGTGAGTATTGCAGAATGGTGCATGATCAGTTTCAAGAGGTAAGTGGATTTCCGAATGTTATTGGCACAATTGATGGGTCGCATATACCACTGTGGGAAGCGCCGAGCAACAAGAATAAGGATGTATATTATTCACGTAAACAGAGGTATGGAATTCATTTGCAGGGAGTAGTTGATCATGATGGTTTGTTCACTACATATAATGTTGGTTGGCCGGCATCAGTTCATGATGCCAAAGTATTTAAGAATTCATCAGTTGTCAAGATGAGAAGTCAATTTTTTATTGAACAAGATTATTTATTGGTGGATGGGGCTTATCCACTTTCTGAATTTACAATTACCCCTTTTTGAGATGCAAGTGGTCTTCATACTAGGTTTAATTACTTTCACAGTCAATCTTGAATTGTTGTTGAACGGGCTTTTGGGAGACTTAAAGGAAGATTTCCAGCGTTAAGGTTTTTGCGCGTGAAAGAAATAGAGCATGGAACAAATTTAATCGAAATTGCACTAATATTACACAATTATATAGAACGTAGTGGAGATATATGGGAAAATGTGCAGGATCATGGGTTAGATTGGGATGAATAATGAAGGAGAAGATAGTATAGTCAATAGTTCCCATAACAATGAAAGAAGACAAGGAGAAATCAAACGAAATCACTTGATGCAGATAGTTCTTAGACACAATCATGTTATTTAATATCAAACTTCACAAATAAATTCTTTACTCCTTATCATTCTCAAGCGCGACTCTGTATTTGTACTTCAACTCTAATTCCTTTAACCTAAACTGAAATTCTAACTCCTTATCCATACGTTCTCGTTCAAGCCTTAATTTCTCCTTCTCGATTTCTAATTTCTCTTTTTCAACATCTGTCTTCATTTCTAATACCTTGTGTTTAAACTCAATTGACATCTTTTTCGCTTCCCCAAGCAACACAATAGAATCTTTAAGAGATTCATTGATACATACCTCGTTTTTTCTCCTTTTCTTTGAACTCTTTTGACAATCCTCCTCATTCCTCCTTTTTTCAACATCATGTCCATCAACAACATACTCAGGATTGATATTATCACGACATCCAAACACTCTATCTAATTGCTCAAAGTGAACCCACACCTTTCTACTTTCTCCGCTAGTATTCTGATCATTCTTCAAATTTTCATATTTCTTAACCATCTTGTTTAGCTTGTTTCTGACCTGCTCACCTGTTTTCCCTGTATCCATATACTCCGCAGCCTTCTCATAGAATCTTGCTTTAACTCCTTTATAGTCACGAAAATTCTCTTCCAGATAATTTAACAGACTCTTTGTTTCTTCCATCAACCATGACACATCCTTTTCAAGTGGTTCATTATAAAACTCATATTTATTTACATCATATTCCATCACATCCATTCTCTGATTTGAAATCGTAACCTCCTTCTCTGCAGCGGGTGTCTTTCTGCTACGTGTCTTTTGTTTCGAAGTTTTCAGTTTTGTAGTAGGTGTTATAGATGATTGGTTAGAGTAGACGTGTTTCCATTGAAGCTGTATATTGTTACTAGGCGGAGGAAAATAAGAGGGCGGTGGCTGGCAGTACTTATTTTCAGACCCTTCACTTGGCAAAGAGCTGACATCCTCTGTAGAAGTTGACATAGTATGTGTTCATCGATCTCTTTTTTTTTCTTAATTTTTTTTTAATTTAAAAAATTTTCTTTTCGCCATGCGAATTTTGTGTTCACATTTGTTTCCTTTTTTGATGAGGAACGAAATGGACACAAGTCTGATGTTGTGCCCATTTTGTTCCCACTTTTCATTACCTAAATTA